AAATAATTTTTACAAATTATTTTATAAGTGCACCAAAAATTCAAGAAAAAGAAGAAATACTTGCTCCAAAACTGCTACATGTTCATTTAATTTCTGCAATTTCCATGTTAGTATAACAATTTATTAAAGACTAACAAAAAATTCTGAGGGCATTTTCAGAAATAAACTGCACTGAATTCTACAGATGTATTGTGAATATCTTCTGTTAGAAACCTTTATTGGTGTTTTGCATTTATCTCCTATGCATTTCATCTTTCTGAATTCAAGTCTTATTGTAAGAATTAAAAAATAAAATAACACTGTAGAATATATCCTTTACATGCTTCCTGTTTAATGTTTGTTAGAAGGAATAACGGAAGCACAGCAGGGTAAAACTCTCCTCAATGTTCTGAGATGAAGGAACTGAGGGAACTCAATGATCAGCCAACACTTTATACATTTTGAGGATGGAAGGGATAAAGCTTTAAGAGAAAGCATTTGGATACAGTTTTTTCTGGAACTTTTTTCATGTAATAGCACAGGGGAAAAAATCACAATACAAGATTACAGAAATGAAAACACAACAAAAAACTTCTTTTTAAGTCTCAAGATTTTTATCTAGACATCAATTGGCTTTTCAAAAAGTAATAGGCAATTTTACAACAAAGTATGAGAAATAAAAAGGAATTGTATTGTTTCCCTTTCTGATATACCTAGCTTTTTAATATAAAACTATACAAAAAAAGAAGCACTTAAAGAAATAACTTGTATCTGAAACATGCTGGGCTTGATAATAAATATTCTAATAGAAGTTCCTCCTCTTTTTTTCTTTCCTTTTTGTTTGCATATTTCTTATGTGAAAATATGATAATTCAAAAGAAAATATAAATAGAATAATAGAGATATAAATATAAACTGAATAGACAGCAAACAATAATATTATCATTTTAACTCCTGGTTAATAGGTGTTTTGTGATTATCCATAACTAGCAAAGTAGCAATTTTTGAATATACAAATTAACCTATAGTAGTCATTTGGGGTGCATGACCAAAGCACACTCAAAATTATAAATCTGCCAATTGATACCAAAGATTACCTTTAGCTGCTATGATCAAAGCAATGATTTAAGCAGAAAAATATTTAGAATCTAATTCTGAATCTATAAGGATACAGAATACATATGTCATTTTTGATCACATCAAAAGGCAAGATTTTAGGAACAGGTAGCTTTTTCATTGTATGTATTTTGAATCTATTTTAATCTTAGATCTGTCGATACCATTTTTACATTTTTAAGGACATGAGTCAAATGATAGGGCATTATTGGAAAGTTCAGTTCTGTAGCCTGTGTTTGAAATATCCCAGAAATTTCCACTTCTTCAGCCTTTGATAGAGATATGCTATAATGCTATAAGTTTTGATCTTGTCATAAATTTCATCAAAGAAAAGTATCTCAAATGCTGAAGCATTTGTTAGTATCTGAAAACATAGCTATTGCATTATTCATCCTACATTTCAGATAATGGCTGTTGATCTACTATGGAAAGAAGGCTTAAAATCAGTTGCTTGGATTGCATTCTCCTTATGAACTCAGTCACATTTACTTTTATTGGATACACACATATACACAAACAAACACACACACACACACACATACACACTGCTAAATGCAGTATCTGTAAAAGCATGTACCACATAAGTGACACGTATTTGAAAAATCCCAGTTATTTTCAGAAAGACAAAAAAGCCATGAAGAAAATATTAAATCACCAAACCCTCAAAACTATTTATTTATTTATTTAGCAAAATTATTTAGTTGTCCAGCTTACAATGCTGATTCCAGGCAGCTTACAACATTAAAAATCCACAATATAAAACCCCAAACCACTCCTGCAAGCAGCAACAAGCACAAACAAATCAATCACTTCATCGGCTTCATATCAACCCGAAGTCCTTAAGCCTACTGACAAAATTATGTCTTCAGATCCTTCTGGGAAAATATCAAGATGGGACCAATCTTATTTCTGGGGCAATGATATTCCTTAGGGAAAGAGCAACCACTGAGAAGGCCCTTTTTCTTGGCCCCATTTTATTCAACTTCCCATATATAATTCATTTAGAGTATGTATTGATGTACATATTTACCATTTAACTAATAAAATATATTTGCACATATTTATAATTTATATAATAAAAAACTTCCAATTATAACTTGTGCATCATGTTTCCTGAGTCCTGTACACTTAAGTTTAAAAAAAAAAATCTAAGCTCCATTTCATACCTCCAGTTTCAGAAAGCTTGCCTCTGTAAATTTTATCTTCTACTACATCTGTCCAGTATAGTAAGCTCTGATTGAAGTGAAAATCAAGTGCTATTGTATTTCTTAAACCAGGAACTAATAAGCTGTAGTCTCGTTTCTGCAGATCAATCCTTCTGATCTCATGCCGAATAGAGAAAATGATGAATGGTTCAAAAGGATCTGGGAACACAACAATACATTTTGTGGTTAAACCTAATCAGTAACAGGTTATTATAGTAAAGCAAATGTCAGACTTATCCCTAGCAGATTAGATGGGAGTCTATTAAACAGGTACACAAGAATCCAGGAACTTTCAATATGGATTTTTATTGTAGGAAAGCTAAGAAGTCCTTATGAAAGAATTCCAGTAATAGTCTCCCAATTCTAGGTTAGTTTTTTTAACTATTACACTACGAGTATCAGAATTGTCTGCCAGAACCAAGCCAGAGAATTTTATTGATGTATTTCTTGCTTGATTACTCTATATGCTGGAGAGTGTGTTCATAGGAATTGGGAAGAATTATTGATAACTGGAAGATAATAACCATTTTTATTCCAAAATATACCTGTATGATATGTGCAAAAGGTTTTTTTTAATTTAACTTTATAGTATACAGGTATTCCCTTTCTAATCACGTATAAGAAAATGGGAAGCTTTTACTTCCCAATATTCCATTATTTTTCTTAACAAATGTCTTTAATATTTTATAGATCTTGGAGGCACTGACCAACCTCAACCCTTTTTTTAACCTGTTATTGTTTTACCTTAATTTGTTTTATGACAAATGCTCCATAAATATGATAACTCATTCAAAGAAAATGAAAAGGGCTTATGGGTTTGTTATAGAAGCTTAAAGATATAAATTTGATAATATATCTAATAAACATGGAAAAATAAAAGAAACAGTCTTCAAAATGTTTTTTTTTAATTCTTGGCCATTTAGTATATGAACTACATGTAAAATGTTGTATGATGTAAAAAGTGTGTGGCTAGGTGGGTATGGCTGTTAGCATCTTCCTTCCTCCCCGCTCCTTTCCTCCCTCCCTCCTTCTTAATGCACAATTCAAGTTTACACAGTTAGACTCAAAAACAGTGGTCCCCTACCATTGCAAGAATAAAGACAGTTAAAGAAGATACTTCATGTGTAGCCGTCCTCGATAAAATATATATACAACTTTTGAATCACAAATTTCTTCATTATTGTTGGAAACGGAAAAATGAAATTGCATTTCACATATATCTACCGATACACAGAAAGCCAAATAGTCAAATGCTTTCTCTGATCAGTGAGATTGAATCAAGAGCATTTAAAAAATGGTTATCAAAAAAGTTGATATAACAAATGAACTTTCAGGGAAAGGCATTAATTTGTTGCCGTCCACTTTCTATATTTGGCTTCTACAAACACTTTCATATCTAGACCACTATATTTTTAATTCACGTTTTAGAAAAATATTTTTTAAATTTGTCATTCAATGGCATTTATCTTACATAAGAAATAACATCTGATGGTATAGGTTATTTTTTGTTATTAAAGGAAACAAAAAAGGACATAAATATTTGCATAAAAATATAATTCAGTATCATCAAGTTCTGCATTGCATAATATCTTATACAATTTTTATGTCTTCTAAATAGAAACAAATTGTGAAGCATCTGTATCAAAAAAGTTAAAGCTTAAACAACCCAGGACTCCTTCTGCTTCTCTAAAGCAAATGGATCATTTTGACATAGTAAAATGTTTGTAAGAGACACTTTGTAATAGTGAATAGATAAGTAAATGTCAGCTTACCGATATTGGCACAGCTTTCGCCATCTTTACTAAGTTCCCAACCTTCATAACAGGAGCACTTAACAGCATTTTTATGCTGTTCACATACTTGGCTGCATTTCTGATGTTTGGTGCAATAATCTACATACTCACAGGTCTTATTGTCTGAATTTAAGTACAGTCCTGGGGGGCATGAACAGACAATTCTGCCTCCAGGAACTACTGAACACTGGTGGCTGCATCCACCATTGTTAAGTGAACATTCTTCTGAAATAAGAATAGTAATCATTATTATTTTTTAAATAAAAACAGGTGGAAATGTGTTTGTCAGACATAAATTAAAATTTAATCTATTATCGCAGATATATTTTATAAGATTAGATCTAGTAGACTGCAGAATAAAAGGTATATTTCAGAACCATAGAATTCTTTGGCAATCAGTTCGCATATATAAATAATAAAGTCTGCAGGTTTAAAAATAGAGTAATAAAAGACAAGGTGGATGGTTTCATAAACTGGAATAATAAAAATTAAATTTATTAGGGATAAATATCTCATATATTGCATAAAATGTAGACCATGATTGCCTTTGCATACAAGTGCTATATAACAATCTTCTGTATGTGTCAGAGAAGAGAACTAACACCTGCTGCCCTGCTATGCTGTTTATTTTGTGTTCACTTTATGCTTTTCATTTGTATGAAAAAAAAATCTGGGAATGCATCATAATCAGAGCATGAATTTGTTTCAACATCCAATATATCGTTAGAAAGAGGAAAATTATGTAGTTCGATACAATTAATTTTATTAATTTTCAATTAATGCCAGATAAATTAGAGCTGCATTGTTGGGGTGAGGGAGGGAAAAGTGGAAGGGAGGGAAGGAAAGGGAAGGGGAGAGGAGAGGAGAGGAGAGGAGAGGAGAGGAGAGGAGAGGAGAGGAGAGAAGAGAAGAGAAGAGAAGAGAAGAGAAGAGAAGAGAAGAGAAGAGAAGAGAAGAGAAGAGAAGAGAAGAGAAGAGGAATCTGCTGGCCACCTGAAACAAAGTGACTTCATCCATTCTTTGAATTCTATTCAGAACTTTGGTATATAAACATTTAGAATTTTTCTCCTTTGAATTTGGTTTTTTTCAGTAATGGACAAAATGAAAGCAGAGCAATTTTTCAGCATGGCATTAATTTCAACCATATAAGGATATGTTGAGAATATTTCAATTATCAAACATATTAAAATTTACATAAGGGATGTGGCTGGGGTGGAAGAGTCTGGATACATTATCTAGGGACCATTATTTATTTATTTTTCATACATCTGCATTTGTTCAAGTATAATTACCACAAAGATCATCTTCATCAGATCCATCAGGGCAATCTCTTATTCCATTGCAAAGCTTTTCAGGCTGCAGACAGATGGAAGTGTCATTAGCACATGGATATTTTGGTGGCCCACACATATAGCCTTCACAATTATCTTCATCAGACTGATCCTCACAATCAATGTCTCCATCACACAGCCAAGCTTTGCTAATACATCTCCCTTAAAGAAAAGAGAAAATAAACATATTGATTCCTTTTCTTAACAAGGCTAATTAGTCTTTCATAATTTATTTTTAATTCCACTATTTTATAGAACTTCAAATGAAGCAACGTTAGCCATTTCCCAATCTTTTATTTCAGAGAGAAGAAGCATATATTGGAAATAGCTATATGGAACTATAAATAAAAGCCATTTCAAATGGGAATCTTCTGAAACTTTTGTGAGATTTTTATTCTGTGTATAGGGAAAACTGCTTTTTCTTTGGGGAAAATAAAAAAAAAAAAAAGTTAAATTTAATTAAAGTTAAAGTTAAAGTTAAAATTAAATACTTTAAAATAATATATAAAATAAATAAAATAAAATTATTTCTTTCATTGTGTATGTGTGACTGCTGTATTATGTGACTAGATAGCTAAACTTAAGGATTTTGATTTCTTCTTTTTAAAATCAATATCTTTCAAGCCATTTTATGGGGAAATTTATGGACTTTGGTAAATATTAAAAAAGAAGAAAAATATTTCTCATCTGAATTAACAAATGCTAGAAGCATAACAATTTTCAACCCAATTGAATTGGGTTCAATTAACAGGGAACCCAGTTAATTGACAAATATTGCATTTGATCTAATTATGAGATTCAAGTTTAAGGATGTGTATTACTGATTTTTGTTTCTAGAAGGAGCTAGTGAAAGAAAAGAAAACAGCTGCCAAATGGCCGATTACTGATCTATTATAAACTCTAATTTTCTCAGAACCTTGTTTCAGAATGTTCTTATTCAAGTTCTAAAAGATATGTCCAAATTGTTCTCTAGGACTAGGTAACTGAGTATTTTTTTCTCTTTTCATCATTCTAAGTAATAAATTAAGAGCAATATAGGTAAAAGCTGGGATGCATATTTCTATTAATTTATTAATGACTATCAACTTTGTAAAATATTTTACCAATGTTGCATTGTGCAATATTGGTAAAGGTGGATTATGCAATTTGTTTCTAATCATATACTGAGGCTGAAAGAAAGGAACATGACTGTTGTTAAAACGTATTTCTTTTTTTCTCTATAATATGCCAGAAATGTGATCATGGATTGTTGATAGGACTTTGAAATCCACAGACAAAAAGTCTATTTTCCACCAAGTAAATCCTCAGACAAAGTTTTGATCAAGTTTTCATGCCAAATGTCAAGTGATGGTTAGTGTGCTAGTCTATACCATTCTATATTTTATTGTATTTGGTAGCTACATGTGGAGAATCATCATGGTCAACATCCACATCATTTTTTTACAGGTTTGGCAGACACTATGGAAATATATTCATTAAGGAATATTATATTAACTTTTATTTATAGCTATATAAATTGAACAATAAATATGCATGTATATGTGCTGATATAATCAGTTTTCCATTCATTAAATGATATGCCCTTATTAATTCATTTTTCTTACAGGACATATCCAAGATGAATCATGATAGCACTACAGTTACTGGTTACCAAGTTGTTGGGGTTCAGAATGTCCCAAACATAATGAAATTAAACCTAATTATATAAATATTATTTTCACTTTATAGTGATTAATTGATGGAGAAGTTTATTTTACTATCCACATTTCCCAACACAGTACAAACATGGTCTCAATATTACATAATCTACTTCTAGAGATTAGTTTTAATTAATGGGTTTCTTTATGATCAGTAATCAAATAACATGCATTGTTGTAAAACGTTAAGCTTAATATATAAAATTAAAACTTTTATGGCATTTATATTATTTTGCAATGGCAGTTAAGCAGAATTTTGCAACTCTCTAGAAATTACCCATTGACTAAACAGGTAAAAGGAGTAGGATAAAGTCTTTAAAAAAAACAATTTCCATGGCAGTTAGTTAATATAAGCATAATTAAGGCATAGGCCAAATAAAAGATGCAGTGAAGAAGGACATGGACAATTGATACAACCTCTTTCAGCACATGGGGCAGAGAGTGAAAAAGCTGATGAAAAGAACATATATGACCAAGCTAAGGCAAGAGTTCTCCTGTGATTGGGCAAAGAATGTTGGTAAGATGGGAAGATTCTGAACTATGTTTTCTAAACAATCCTAAATTATAAACTTTGAGCTATAGCTTAATTCTTTTCATAAGAAGCGTGTAAAAAAACCCCCACTCTATTTCAACTATAATAAGGCTGATTCAAAGCCAAATGAGGAAAATAGTTCTACAATGCTAACAATAAAATAATAGTTTTAACTTTGCATAAACTGTTACCCTTTAATACCTGTAGCCTTGCAGGAAAACTTTGTTTTGTCGTCACATGGTCGTATAGTTCCATTACAACTCTTTTCATCACTGCCATCTTCACAGTCCTTTTCTCCATCACAGTGCCAAAGCTCAGGAATGCAGTTTCCATCTGGGTAACATTGAAATTCTTTTCTACTGCATCTCCCAAGAGAAGCTATCTCTAACATTAAAAAAAATGATAATACAAAATCAGTTAAGAATTTTTTTTTTTTGATAATTTGTATCATTTCCAATATGCTTCAATTGCTACTTGGACACAGTCAAGGAAGCGATATTCAGTATTGTATTCTTTTTGTAAAGAACCACATTTTTATTATATAGAAAAGAAAAATTATACTGTTCTAATGCAGAGCCATATTTTTACCATATGGACTCAATTACACATTAATATACGAGGATGTAAGTGTGTCTATTATCTTTCTACAAAATAGATCATGAAAATTGTCACTTTCATCTTAAGCAATGTTCCAATAATCGACTTTTTCCCATTAATTACATGTATGTCTATTCAATTCAATCATGTGAGCAGAGCCAGTATATACTTCTCCATTATAATAGATAAGTTTATTTTATATACTGTTCACTGTTTTGCACCAGTGTGAATTTCATTGCAGAAATATAATTGGAACTACAGTGGTGATATCCATTTCAACCCTTTGAGCTATCATATTATAAATTGTTCTTTGGCCAAAGAGACATCCACAGAATGAGAACAGTTCTATGCGATAAGTGTAGAAGAATGGGGGGTTTTTTCCCCCAATGACAAAATCACAGATAATGAATGTCAGAATTTCAGCCTATGGAAAAGAAAGGACAAAAAAGAATAAAATAACTTTCATGATAAGAGCAGCAAGACAAGACCAAAGATATATTGATATATCTTGATCTAACACCAAATTGTAAATGTGTTACAATTCAACTTCCATTCTCACAGCTTGTAAAAAAGATTTAAAAAATTCTGAAGTGGACTTAGAATTTGACAGTCATAAATGTGAAAATCGGTTGTAAAGATACATTTTCATTGCAAACTGAAATTGTGTCCACGAAAGCAGAACCAACCATTGTGGCAAAGACCAAAGAACCAGTGATTAGACCAGTTCTTTGGAATCTTTCCAGACAAGGACAGTGGTGGCAAACCTATGGCACGAGTGCCAGAGGCGGTACTCGGAGCCCTCTCTGTGGGCACATATGCCATCGCCCCAGCCCTGCCTCCCCCCATGGCCGCCTCACTAGCAGCCCCCCTGGAGGAGAGCCGATCCGGGTGCAGCCCGCGCGGAGCAGCACAGCCAAGCACATGGCAGCTGAGCAGCAGGGACAAGACTCCACCCTCGCGCCCTGTTGCGCGCAGATGCTGCTGCATGGTGCAGGCAGAGGGCATGGCCACCATGGCACTGCAGGGCCACGTGGGCGATCTGCAGCAGGCCATTGAGGCAGTGGGTGGCCCTGCGGGTGGTGTGGGAGTGGAGCAGGGTGGGGGTGGAGTGGGGGCGGGGCAGAGGGCACAGTGGTTTTTGGGCACTCGATCTCTAAAAGGTTTGCCATCACTGACATAGGAGATCACACATATCATATATCACTAATAAATGTAGAACTTAAGTAATATCTTTTGAGGAATTTGCATTCAATAACATTTGGAGGACCATACATCCAAACCTGACATAATCCAAAGCTCCAAATATTACTCATTTATCTCTTTTATGCATATGGTACTTTTCCATTTAAAATGAAAGACAGGATGTAAATATTTCTCTCCTAGGTATCTAATGTTACAGTGCATGTTGAAGTGTATGAAAGTATTTATTGAAACATAATTTTTAGAGTTGTAAAACTGAGTTCCAAAAAAGATATGTATGGCAGTTTAACATCATGTAAAAATATAATCTGTGGATAAATACCTATTGATGGATAATTTATGTTGTTTTAATAATATTTAAACAGACATTCAATTGATATTAAAAGTATCACTATGAGAGAAAGCTACAAAGAAAAAATGTGTTATATTTTAAACCTATCTGGAATTTTCTCCTACAGAAAACACAGTAGAAAAAATATATCTCGCTGTACACTACAAGAATAGAAAAAGTGGTTTCATTTAAATTAAAGGATTTTCATTTTTGAAAACTTTCAGCTATTGAAAATTGCTACAGATGCATATTATCCTCAATGAAACTGAAACTACTGAATTAGGATTGCATTGCATTGTGTAGTGACTGTTTACATTAAGCAGCAAAATAATTACTGAAATCTGTTTATGGTTACTAGAGTGTAAATTAAACTGAAAATAATAGGACAGTACTTCCAAGGAAGAATGCACAAAATTGCATTTTTATTTTTTCTAAAGCAATGGATTATTGGAAGTTACACAGTGGGTTTGGAAATCTATCTTTCTGTTTGTGTGAGCATAGGAAAGAATAGCTGTCAGAAAACAATCAAAACAAAAACAAATTGGTGCAGTACTTTAGAAGAACCTGCCAGTTTAAAAAAGAACTGAATCCAGTTAGAACAAAGAATCCAGTAAAAATCCTCCAATTCATCCCAAGTGGGTGGAGGGCAGTTAGTAAACAGCTTGGAATAGGGCCAACTTTTGCATTACTCCTGTCCCATTTTCCTTCTTGGAATGTGACCCTGAATAAACCATTTGCAGCCTATCCCACAACTCTCAGAGCAGGCATATCCCCAAAAATGCTTAAGGGGAGAATAGCAATGCATACCAGCTCATGCTGAAGAAAACAATGTGCCTGACTAGACCCTCTCTCTCTCCCTCCCTCCCTCCCTCCCTCATTCTCTCTCTTTCTTCTGTCTCTCTCTTTTTCCCTCTCTTTCTCTCTCTGTCCAAGAGAAAGGGAGAGGAAGAGAGGGAGGGAGAGGGAATGAAAGAGGGAGAAACAGAAACAGAATTAGTCCACAGGGAGAACATGTTGATCTGTAACACAGAAAAAAATACAGATGCCGCCTATGGCCACTGATGGTGATGAATTTTGGAAAGTGTAATGCATGCTTTCTCTCTCTCTTATTAATATTTTGTACATATGTAAGTATTACAAGTTACTTAAAACATTTTGCAGTTCCTTTCAATGTAAGCAATTCAAAAAATTAATAAAAGTGGCTAAGTATCAAATACTACTGACTATAAGAAAAAGAGGAAGAGATTCCTGTGTTCTTTTCAGAGGTTGTACTTATTCCTATGAGTCACGGGTATATTCTTTTCCAATGAAAGTGTTGAAAAGTGTTAAGCAGGACAAAATGTTCATTTATCAGATTTCAGAGTCGTGAGATATATCTGATAACTTGTCTAGCAAAAAAAAAAGTATGATCAAAAAATCCAAAGTTTCACTATTTTTTCATAATTCAAATTCTCCTTGAACAAATTATACCAAATAAGGAATCTGTAGCAAACACTAGTTGGGATCATCATCAGTACAGAGACTGCTATATAAAATATGCAGTATATTGTTTTTATAGATTGATAACTCATTCTACTACCTAGGCCCGTGGTGGCGAATCTGTGGCACGCAGAGCCCTCTCTGTGGGCACTCGTGCCATTGCCCCAGTCCTAAGTCTTCAGCTGGGTTTTATAAAACCTTTTCACTTTAGGCCTCCACCGCCATGTGCAAAAAAAAAAAAAGATTCAATCAATCAATCAATCAATTTCAACTTCTTAGGGGAAAAAAAAGATCTCGCAAACTTGGAATTGATTGATTGAACTTTTTAGTTCTACCCAGTCTGCCGTTACCACCGCAGCCACACCCACCCAATGGGCCACACCCACCCAATTGGCCACACCCACCCGGCACATGACAATACATAAGTGGGTTTTGGGTTGCAGTTTTGGCACTCGGTCTCTAAAAGGTTCGCCATCACTGACCTAGACTATCCTTAAATATGCACATTCCATCCAAGCAGATTGAAAGAAACTATATTTTAGTGTACTGATATGAACTGAATTCTTCACCTTGCCTTAGACTGCAGCATATTATTGTTTTTGCCCTTTGTGAACAGTATTTAACATATTGTAGCAGAATTTTTAACATAATATTCTTTTCCTCTGATTCTTATTTAATAATAGTTCAAATTACAAACAATATGTTTGAAACTGCACTGTTATATTGTTTTAGTGAACTAAAGCAAAGTCATATTAAAAATCAGGACTGGTTCAAATGATTTATCTGCCCCCCCCCCGCCCATCATCATGCATAGTACAAAAATATTTTCCCTCTCCCAGACAGTAAAATACAATATCTAATTTTAAACAAAAAAAACCTATCATGCTCCCCTTTTATCACTACTAAAAAACAGCTGCCTTTAGTGAATTGTTCACTCACTTTATATTAGAAATGATGTTTTATTATGACCAAGTTATAACTTAAAAGATATTCCCTGATGTGTTTTATATATGTATGACACATACACACACAGAGCCCCAGACCCAGACACCCAGACATCCACACACACAAAGATACATATTCCTACCTTCACCATTTATTGATATATATATTACAATTGGCATAATTCAGTAGGAATAAAATCTTATATTAATCATCTTACTCAGCTAAAATCATGATCCTGACTATTATTTCATTTCACAAAGGTAAGCATTGTACTGGAAGTTGATAGGCATTTTACTAGAAGTTGGGAGGGGGATATAAAACACTGACCTTTGGTGCAATTTGGTTTAGTTTCATCACTGAAATCTCCACAGTCATTGTCTCCATCACAAGCCCAGTGACCTGGAATGCACCGGCCAGTAGAGCACCTGAACTGGTTGTCAAAACATGAATGAAGACAGCCCAGTTCATCACTCCCATCACCACAGTCATTATCTGTAAAAATGCATGAGTATTTTATTCATGCCCAATTTATTACTGTATTCTATAACTAAGCAGAAACAGTAGAATCACCTTTTTATTTCCTTCAGTTTCGTAAAGCCCAGAATTAATGTATAGAGTTAGAATAGAGTTACTTCAGCAAAGTAAGATTTGTATGATGGTGAAGGTACAGAGAGTATATAGATTTTAAATGGAATTGTAACAATCAGCTCTGATTTACCGAAATGAACAATTTTTAAAGTTTTTTTTTTAATTGTGAAAAGGAAATAAATGAGAAAGATACTTTGCTGACCTCTGTATATTACTCAGATTATATGCCAAATTGGTTTCTGCTCCAAAGCAACTAGAATAACATTAAAAACAGAAGCTAGGCTTCGCCGAATGGCAGATCACAATGGCAGACTACAATGACTTAGAGGCAGGGTAATTAATATTTATTTATTTAGCATATTTATAAAGCCAGCTATCTCACTAAAAGTGACTCTGGGTGGTGTACAAGAATCAAATAAAAGCACAGGTGCATTAAAAACCCAATCATTATAAAAATCATTATTTAGAAGGGAAATATTATAAAATATTAAAATATACAAACCGCACAGAAAGATCAAAACATAATGGAGTCATCTCAGAATATTTCCACTTCCCTGGGACCTCCAGGCCTGATAACATAACCAGCTCTTAAAATAATAGCCAGAATAGAGCTGACCTTGGGATAGGAAGGGAGAATGTTCCATAGAGCAGATCCTGTGGTAAGAAGTCCCACCTCCTGGGACCACTAAACATAACTGCCTAGCAGATAGTTTCTGTAACTTGCTTTGTCTGCCAGATTGAATGGGACAGGCTGATGTAGTTGGGGAGAGGCAGTCTCTCTAGTAAGCTGGTCCCAAAGCCAGAAAGAGCTTTAAAGATTAAAACCAGGACCTTGAATTGAGCCCAAAATTTCCATTGCTAAGCAAGACTGTTTTCATGAAACTTTGCCACTCTTTATGACCTTTCTTGCCATTTTTGTTCTTGTTAAGTGAATCACTGCACTTGTTAAGTTGGTAACATGGTGGTTAAGTGAATCTGACTTCCCCATTGACTTTGCTTGTTAGTAGGTCACAAAAGGTGATCACATAATCCTAGGACACTGCAATTGTCATAAATGCATGCCAGTTGCCAAGCATCTGAATTTTGATTATGTGACTATGGGGATGCTGCAACAGTCCTAAGTGTGAAGTAAAATAAATATTGTTTTATTTTATTTTGTGGTTTAAGGCATTCATTTAATATATTTTAAGCTGTTGGATAGTAATGGGGGGGTGTAACTAGAATAGATCAATCAAGCTCCACCATCAATTTCTTTTTGGAGTAAGTATAGAAGCATATAGAAATAAGTGATATAAGTGATATTAGAAATAAGTAAAACAGGTGCAGATAGATAGATAGATAGATAGATAGATAGATAGATAGATAGATAGATAGATAGATAGATAGATAGATAGATAGATAGATAGATACATAGATACATAGATACATAGATACATAGATACATAGATACATAGAGATAGATAGATAGACAGACAGATAGATAGATAGATAGATAGATAGATAGATAGATAGATAGATGATAGATAGATAGAAGTATAGTTATAGATAGATAGCTAGATAGATAGATATGCAAATAGCATATACAATATCACAAATATTTAATTAACAGGAGACATAATGGTTTAAATAGTATTCTGTCACTTTCCATCTTTAAGCAGAAGTGAAAGGTCAGAAATCAATAAGATAATCCTATGCATTATACTTACATGATCAATTGGTAAATTCTTTAGTACATATTTATCTTCAAAACATTAGGTCACTTTTATAAGATTTAATGAAATCAATTTTTGTCACTCCTAGTGTATAAATAGTGGATTGGATGCTAACGTGGAACCTATTACATGAAACTTAACAGGTAACATGTAACATGAAAGCTAATTCCTACTACCATTACATGAAACTTTCAGTCTTAGCCACTTCAGGATTGGCTATGATACAGGGAAGCTGAGTAAGATTCCTGCGAGTTAGACAGAAACATTATTTGTGACTAGAGTTGAGTTGATTCTTACCTGTATCACAATGCCACTTGTTACTAATACATCTTCCATTATTACATATAAAATGAATCAGTGGGTCACAGGTTGGGAATTCTGGAGAAGAGAAGAGAAGAGAAGAGAAGAGAAGAGAAGAGAAGAGAAGAGTATATTTACTACAATATAAAGGCATCTATTATTTCATAAATTTTCAAAAACAACTGTTATTACATTGCTAGCTGTGTCAATTAGATATTATGTTATCTGAAACAGAAAAAAAGGTGTTTGTATGAATATAACATAATGTGTATATGAATATAACATAAGATAGTCCTCAGTTTATGACTATAGCTGGAATTGAAAACCTGGTCATAAGTCAGAATCAGAATAGAGCTGGAAGGGACCTTTGAGGTCTTCTAGTCTAACCTCCTGCTCAAGCAGGACATCCTATACTATTTCAGACAAGTGACTGTCCAGACTCTCCTTAAAAACTTCCAGTGACGAAGCACCCACAACTTCTGATAGCAAAGCTGTTCCACTGGTTAATTGTCCTCATTGTTAGGAAGTTTTTCCTTAATTCCAGGTTGCTTCTCTCCTTGATTAGTTTCCTTCCATTGTTTCTTGTCCTGCCCTCTGGTGCTTTGGAAAATAAGTTGATCATCTCCTTTCTGTGGCAATCTCTCAAATACTGGAATACTGCTATCATGTTCCCCCTAGTCCTGATTTTGATTCTATGCCACTGTTTATACAATCAAGGATTGTACTAGCTTTTTTGGCTCCTGCCGCAAACTTCTGGCTCATATTTAAGTGATCATCCACTAGGACTCCAAGGTCCCTCTCACAGTTACTGTTTTTGAGCCAGGTTTCATCTACTCTGTACTTGTGCCTTTGGTTTTTCCTACCTATATATAAAACCTTGCTTTTCTCCACATTACATTTCATGTTGTTGGATAGGACCCATTGTTCAAGTCTGTCAAGATCATTAGGATCATAAATCTAGGCACCCACATGCTGGAAGTGATTTTAAAACTTTTTTGCAATGGTTGTTAAATAAATGGGGCAGTTGTTAAGCAAATATAGTGGTTGTAAGTGCAAATTCATTTATTTGCATGGTCGTTTTTTGTTAGAAGCTGACAAAAAACATTGCAAATTCAGTCACATGACTACAGAATGCAGTAACTAGTCAGAAACCATGGGGGGGTGGTCTGATTATTTACAATGGATGGGGGTGTCTTTATGGGTTGTTAAGCACCCATTCCATGCATATTGTAAATGCAAATAGTCGTTCAGTGACTAGTCATAAGTCAAGGACTACTTGTATATTAAAAGAAAATAAGTACAATATTTTGCTAAAGCATTAAGCACAAATGTTTTTATTACACAAATTCCTAAACTGTCACTTTAAAGAAATTTCAGATATTTCTGATAGGAATAGCCTTTCTTAGCATACTAAAGGTATAAGAAGCCTAAAACATGAAAACATCACAGGAATTGTAACTGCTTCACAGCCTGTAGTGATTTGGTGCCCCTATGGGACAATGGTGTAATTCTCAAGGAATGTTTTATAGCTATCACCACAATAATAGTTTGGTGTTTATGCTAAACATCTGTGATCTTATGCACTAAAAACAAATTAAATATAGCATTAAGAAGGAAAGAACAGAAATAGCATCATAATAAAGAAGTCTTGTCACTACTGTCATATCATGATGCTTTTATGCTAAGTTCAGAATGAAAATAGAAGCAAGAAAGATTTACAAAGTCACTGGGGGGAGACTTTACTGTGGTGCTGTTTTTGCCATGGGAATTCTGACAATTATTTCATGGGTAATAAATGATCAACAATGACCTAGAATCCTGCCTCATCCTGAAAATATTCTAGTGATGAAGGAGCAGGAAGAGCTCAGAGTCCCTGAATATTGATTGGCACCAAGCATGTGAGGAAAACATAATTTTGTGAACATGAGAAACAGTGGTAGCAATACGGTAGTGCAGAGTTCAGATTTAACTGATTTGGAATTAGCAGAGCATCCTTGTAACAGTTGGCAGAAATGTTGAAAGAAGTTGTGTAGATTCAACTGGTTCACAATCCTGGGAAATTACATACTTAAGATAATCCTGAATCCTGATGCTACCTGCATGCAATAGTCATGCACAGTTCAAATCCAGCCTCATCTTTGGGATTGGGATTTCTGCCCATGCTAACTGGTTACAAATAGTTTTTAAATTATGTAAGAATCAAACATTTCTCTATATCTGTTTATACACTGAGAAGTATTGATTAAAAAACCCATGGCAATTTAATGGAAAGTTAGGAAGTCTCTGTGAAATGAAATGGAAATGAAGCGAGCTAAGCACAAAGACACCTGGAGTGGCATGTGTGTGCGTGAAAAAATATGTGTCGTTATGCTACTATACAAACCACACCTCTTACTGTATGTGCGTGTGTTACATCACAACACATATTCTATCACTTTGGCATCACTATAATTAGGAACAGTCACCTATACGTATGCATCATAATGTCCTGAGGTCCCAAGGGGCCAGCAGATATTTACTTTGGTATATGCCAAGATCACCTTCCATTCTGAATTTTTACCAATTCTTTTAGTTAATAAAAATAAAACTATGTATGAAATTGCTAGCTTCCATCATATCTTTTATATTCAAGACTATCTCTGAGCCCCATATAAGGGCTACAAATATTCTTAGAAAATAAAAGGATGAGTAGCAGCCCATTCCTTAGACAAAGATAAGATGGGGAAGCTAAAGCCTTTGGGAAGTGAGGGTTAGAGTGAGGTATGGTATAACCTCTCTGCTTTATCACTGGTTACCTATCACGCTAGTGACCTTTTGGTAAATGCCCAAGGGTGACATGCTGTCAACATTCCAGATATATCCACAAAACAAAAAATGGTGCTTAGCCCAGCCTAAGAGCACTTTATAACGTATATTTGGCTCAAAATAAGATTACTACGGCAAATATGGTATTTTTCAGGAAAAAAGACAATAGAAAACAGAATATGCTTGGATTTTCTGCATTAATTTAGCTATAATTGAAAAAACAAAACAGTAAATATTCAGTGTCAGTTATTAAAACTGCTTAAAGGTCATGTTCTACAGAAAAAACTATTAATTTTCAAATACATTTATGGTAGACTGATTTAATGCATGAACTATTTATGTAATCAAAATTTACTATATTTTGAAATGTCACAAATGTTGAGCTTAGTTACCAAAGATTTTCAAAAATATACTTTTAGAACTAAAATGCATTTGGCAAAATTCCAGTTTTGAAAAACAGTGGTTCATTGTCTAGAAATATACAACTGTCTCCTATTTCTTTCTTTCTCTCTCTTCCCTCCCTCTCCTAGACTGGTCAAGTTTCAATAAACACAAAGCACTGAAATATATATATTTACTAATTCGAAATTAATCTTAATTGAACAATTTTGCTCACTAGCTTCTGCAAGCTCTTTATCTATACTATATTCTTGAAAGTCCAATTTGTCTTCTATATCTCTTCTATGTCTATTTATTTCTTTACTTTTATATATTTACTTCTATATTTCTGTAATCTCAATTACTTTATTTCACTATTGTCATTCTTTATAGAACCAAACTCCTTTTCTACAAATTTAAATATGTCTTTTAATTTGTTTTTTTTTCTATTTCTGTGCTGTCACAATCTTTACTTTTTTGTGTGCCTTTTCTGCTTGTTTGTTCCTGACTAGGCTTCTTAACTCTTCTCCTCTTCCAAATCTTTGCTCTCTCTGAGGTAAACAACTCACAAAACTTTTTCCTCATACCAGCTCTGAGGGAAGGAAATAAACACCTTTTTCTCTCTCTCTCTTCTACTTTTCTCAGATGCTGCCCTTTCTGGTTGCCTTTTTCTCTTCAAGCTTATCTTCTAGTACTCTCTTCACTTTGACCTCTAGTCTGACTATATTTATTCAGCTTCTTCCTCCATGAGGCCTAGGACTAAAGAACTCCCAGGCAGCCATCCTGTGTTCCCTCCTCCTCCTTGCCTCTTCCTAACATGGCTGTTTGCTTAAGCTTGGTACTTTGCTTTGGAATATGCTGGTCTGTCATTTATTATTTTGTATTTAATTAAACTGTTTCTAAGGGATCCTTGATCCTCTCTGAGCTTGGTTGTTTTCTTGCAGAGGTTTCATTACCCAAACTAGATCTCATCAGTGCTAGTGTTATAAGGACCCCTCATTATAGTAGGCCACAAAAAGCAATATTATCGCTTTTGACATTTTTCATTTTAAAAGGTATTTTAAGAGGTATCACTTGTTAATTGATAGCATTTAAATTTTTGTGTTCTATTAAAAAAGGGCTAATTTCATAATGAATAATGTTAAGGTGACCAACCGTCCTCCTTTAGGGAGGACAGTCCTCCTTTTTTAAGTTCTGTCCTCCCTCGAAAAGTGTCCTCCTACATGTCCTCCTTTTCGATATTTGAAGACTAATCTGCAGGGCTTTTTTTTTCTCATAGAATGCTCAGAACGGCGTTCCAGCACCTTTTTTGATGGTTTTTTTTCAACTTTTGCATGAGCTGTGCTACTCCCACTATTGGCTTTCAAAAGCCAATAGGAATTGCTGCTGAGCGCGCCAAAACACCCAGCTGGCAAACTTTGCACATGTAAGTTGTCTGCAGCGAAGGCGAATTGGCAGGAACTTTGCACCCCTCCCTGCTACCCAACTACACCATCTCCTAGACCTAGTTAGTCCCAAAGATACCTGGAGGAGACTGGAGTGGCGACGCCACGGTAACTTTCTTTTGATCTTTGGCCCTGCTAGGGCAATAATGGCTGCAGGCATAAGAGGCAGGGGCAGCGGGGCTCCTGCGGGCAGGGGTGTGTGAGGGGCGGCGGTGGCCAGCTGCCCCCCGTGCTGTGGGAGCCGCGGGGCCTGCTCTACACGGGGCTGTGCAGGGTGGGCGGTGGTGCTGGTGGGGCGGCTGCAGGTGGGGTGTGTCAACGGCAGGCTGCCCCCCAGGGCCGGAGCCGGTACAGCTGGTGCTTTGGGAGCCACGGGGCCTGCTCTACACGGCGGGGCAGCAGTGCTGGCGGGGCAGCTGTGACAAAAAAGAAAACATTTTGGGCTATCTGCAAAGTGAGAATTATAAACTTTAGGGGGGGGAATTGACCTTTCTGGATTATAAATACTACTCAGTTGTGACTCTAAAGCTGTTTGCAGAGAAAGGAAAATCCTGATTTTTGGCTATCATGGAAAATCAGAGATCTGCAGAAAGAATATATCAAGAAAAAACAAATACTTTCCAGGAGGAGATGTATGCTATGTTGCAACTAGTTCAAACAACATTGATCTCAAGCCATGATGAAATTAAAAATAACTTTGAAAATATAAATGAATACATCTCCAATTTAACTTTACAACAAAAAAACTCTCAAAAAGTAAAAATAGAGAGCAAGCAGATAAAACAGACAACTGAAAATAAACCAGAGGAAAGAGATTTAAAGATGGAACCTAACAATAGAAGGAAGTATGACTTAACCCAGGTGGGAAAAAACTTGCAGGAAATATTGGATATGGAAAAGATAATTTATATTCTAAGATCACAAAATTAGTCTGAGGACAAGAAAAAAGATTCAATAAAATGGATTACAGAGCTGTCAGGAGAACTACAAGAACTTAACAGACAAAAAATGATAAGAGAAAATGATAAGAGAAAGAAAGCGAAAAGATTTTCAATGAATATGAATATGAATATGAAGGGGCAAAACCTTCCCATAAAAACATCTTACTTGATTTGCCTTTTGTACTTACAACATCTACAAGACTATGGGAAGACTCTTTGATTCAGTGAAGCATATTGATCAGGAAAGATGTTTGGCAAAAAAAAAAAAAGGCTAAAGTGAGAATTAAGAAATTAGATGATGGGACTTATTAGAGGGAATATTTAAAAATTAAACATTTGTTTGAATATGGTTAAAGAAATAGAAAGTTTTTGGATATAAATGAATTTTAGTTAAAGAGGGATGAGCCCCTCAAATAACTTAGTGTTTTTTCTTGCTTTTTTCTTTTGTTTTTTGACATGAGAAATTTAAAAATGTTGAGATAGTTTATATAAAGGAAATGTCTTAGATACTTAAGTGTAATTGATCTTAAGAAAACTTTAATGGATAAAAATGTTTTGAATAGATCTAAAAGATTAGATAATTGCATTAGCAGGTGCGACACATGATGTGGCGTCCTGCCGCGAGTGGCTGAAACTGGCCACTTGCCAAGTGGGGGGCATGGCGGCCCTGGCTACCAGTTTGGGAGCCTGAGGCAAAGTACAGTAAGCGGGGCCTGTGGGTCAGATCCCCCCTCCCCCACCGGCTTCAACTTATGTCAGCAACACTGGCAGCTTCCCCCCTCTTCTCACCTCGTGTCTACTGTAGCAACCAGATGGAATCAGCAGCTGCGCAGGCTCTTAAGTAGGGCTTACTTTTGGGTAGGGCTTATATTAGGGCTATCCCTAATATTTTGGGGGGTAGGTCGTATTTTTGGGAAAAAACGGTGTGTGTGTGTGTGTAAAGAGAGAATGTTTAGCCTTTAAGAGAAGGAGCCTCAAAAAGCATGATGCATCAGAATAATTACATGATTTTCAAAATATATAAAGAGCATGTAATTTAATTGCCACTTTTCACAAGTTTTGATGCAATGTAGCTGATAAAACCCAGAATATCAACTTAAAAATGATAAAAGACCATTTAACAATGGTTTTAATCCTTTTAATCCTGCTGTTTTTCTCCCTCAATTAGAGGTGTAGATAGTTTTTATGGCCACAGTAGCATTCTTTTTCATTTTTATGGCATGTGAACACTATACATTAAGATATATTCAACTTAGTGACTTTATACTATCTTATTAAGCTGAGATATTTTTTTTTTGAGGATAGAAGATAAATGTGAACTGAAGGGGACTTAATTTAGATTCTCATTAATAAAAGACAGTCATTTTCCCAGAACAAAGCTAGGAACCCGAGTTCAGAATTTCTGCTGATCTTATAAATCCCAAGCAATGAACCACAGTAGCTTTTTTACCATAAGAGCTAAACCAATAGTCATGCCTCCTCTGTCAGCACTGTGTGTGTAAGAAACCAGATGAGGTGGGACAAAGGAAGAACTAAAAAGGGTGTAGACTTGCATGTCAAAAGAGTAATCATAACAGCTGAATAAATATGTGGTTTCACTGCAGCAGAGTGGCCACACATATTATTTATGAAACAGCTTAATTTTGAGGTCACAGAGTTAAGGAAGATGGTTTACATTCTGCATATATTTTCTCTCCTAGTGAAGTCAGTGCAACTGAGCTTGCTAAGGAGGGAAGATTAACAGACCCCATCTCTGACTAATGACTATAAAAATGGTCAGATTGCAGAAGCCAGAGTAGTCCAGTTTTCATGCCAACGGCAATTATAGTCACAAAAATGTATAGAAGCATATTGATTTTCCAGCAAGATCTACATGCAGTACAAGTTTATACAGATATTCAGTACAAAAATCATAACATATCATCAGGGCTTTTTTTCTCGGAGAAAAGGTGGCGGAACTCAAACCTGGCCACGCCCTCATCAAACCCTAGGACCGCCCCTTTAGAGAACAGGAATGCAAGTAAAATTTGGGAGGGGCTATTTCCGGTGTGGGAGGGGCTATTTCCGGTGCGGCCGGCCCGGAAAAAGGTGCCGGAACGCGGTTCCGCCGCGTTCCG